TCCGGCTGATATTTCGTATCTCTCCTGCCCGGGGTACAAATTGGAGCACTCCTTTGTGCCTCGGGCTGGAGTTTGCGTGTATGTCAGAGAGGACATCTGTTCTCGACGCCTCGGCAGTCTTGAAGGTTCGGACCTGTCCATCCTTTGGCTACGCGTAGACAGCGACGACCATCCGCGCGTCTATGGGTGCCTCTATAGGTCCCATAGCGGTAATGCCGAAACAGACCGACTCATCGACCACGTCCAAATGGCTACAGATTCCTTGCTACAACAGGTCCCATCCGCAGAGATCGTGATCCTTGGCGATTTTAACGCCCACCATGCCGAATGGCTCGGTTCACGTTTAACCGATCATGCGGGGAGATCTGTTTATGACTTTGCTTTGGCATATGGTCTGACACAACTGGTTACTTCGCCTACACGGATTCCAGATGTGGAGGATCATACACCTTCCCTGTTGGACCTTCTGCTGACCTCTCATCCGGACGGATATCAGGTTTCCGTCGATGCCCCTCTCGGCTCTTCGGACCATTGTCTGATCCGGAGTATGGTGCCACTCACGCTCCCTTCGCGGTTGCGTTCTGCAGGTTGCCGCCGTGTTTGGCATTACAGGTCGGCGGATTGGGACGGAATGCGGTCTTTCTTTGCATCCTACCCATGGGGGCGTGTTTGCTTCTCGCCGGATGATCCCAGCGCTGTTGCTGACTCTGTCACTGATGTGGTGCTACAGGGAATGGAACTATTTATTCCATCATCTGTGGTACCCATCGGAGGCAGATCTCAGCCTTGGTTTGGTCGCTCCTGTAAGACTGCATTGCGCAGAAAGCAGGAGTGTTATCAAGCCTGGGCTGCGGCTTCGGTGACTCGGGATGTAAACACCAGCACACTTAAAAAGAAGTATAACTTCGCCTCCAGGTCCTTCAAAAGAGTTATTGCCAAGGCAAAGTCTGAGCACATAGGCAGAATTGGCGAGAAACTAGTTCGCCTTCCTTCGGGAACCCGTGCATTCTGGTCTCTCGCCAAGGCTGTCCAAGGGAATTTCTGTAAGCCATCACTACCATCTCTGCACAGGGAGGACGACTCACTGGCCCACGACGCAAAAGAGAAGGCCGACCTTTTAGGCTCCCTTTTTGCGTCCAACTCGACTGTTGATGACGGGGGGAACACACCGCCGACCATCCCGCGGTGTGAGTGCTCTATGCCGGATGTGCTATTCTCACAGCGCTCGGTTCGCAGAGCACTCCTTTCCCTTGACATCCACAAGTCGAGTGGGCCTGACGGAATCCCCCCAATTGTGCTGAGGACGTGTGCTCCGGAGTTGGCACCGGTTCTAACGCGTCTTTTCCGGTACTCCTACTCCCAAGGCGTAGTCCCGAACTCATGGAAGACAGCTTTTGTCCACCCGATCCCTAAAAAAGGCGACCGCTCAGACCCGTCCAACTATAGGCCTATCGCGATCACCTCCTTGTTCTCCAAAATAATGGAATCCATTATTAACTGCCAGCTCATCCGGTACCTTGAGGATCACCAGCTGATCAGTGACCGCCAATACGGTTTTCGTCGGGGTCGATCAGCTGGTGATCTTCTAGTCTACCTGACCCATAGATGGGCGGAGGCAGTAGAGTCCAAGGGGGAGGCGTTGGCCGTTAGTCTGGACATTGCGAAGGCCTTCGATCGGGTTTGGCACAAAGCGCTTCTTTCGAAGCTCCCTTCCTATGGGCTTCCCGAGAAATTGTGCAATTGGATCACCAGCTTCCTTGCAGATCGGAGCATCAAGGTCGTTGTAGACGGTGCATGTTCTGACTACAAGCCTATTAACGCTGGTGTTCCACAAGGTTGTGTGCTATCACCAACGCTGTTTCTTCTGCATATCAATGATATGTTGCTAACTGGTAACATTCATTGCTATGCGGATGACAGCACTGGTGATGCTCTATACACCGGCCGGGCCAATATTTCTCGGGAAAACGTCGCCGAGTACCGGAACAAACTTGTGTCTGAAGTCGAGTCTTTGCTGGACAAAGTCTCGGATTGGGGGCGACTAAATCTAGTCCAGTTTAATCCTCAGAAGACACAAGTTTGCGCGTTTACCGCTAAAAAGAACCCCTTTGTCGTATCTCCTCAGTTTCAAGGCACTCCCCTTCTTGCCTCAGCCAGTATCGGTATCCTCGGAGTCGACATATCGAGTGACGTGCAGTTTCGTGGTCACTTGGAAGAGAAGGCCAAATTGGCCTCTAAAAAGCTTGGCGTGCTCAGCAGAGCGGGACAGTATTTCATGCCGGCACACCGCCTGCAACTTTACAAGGCGCAGGTTCGGCCTCACATGGAATACTGTTCCCATCTCTGGGCAGGGGCTCCCCAGTGCCAGCTCCTTCCACTTGACCGCATCCAGCGCAGAGCGGCTCGAATCGTCGACGACCGAGCCCTTTCCGATCGGCTCGATTCATTGGCACTGCGAAGAGATGTTGCATCTTTTTGCATTTTCTTTCGCATCTACCATGGGGAGTGCTCTGAGGAATTGTTCGGATTAATCCCACCCGCCAAATTTCATGAACGCACATCGCGGCAGAACTCCCGATACCATCCACACCATCTGGATGATTGGCGGTCCACCACTGTGCGATTTAGAAGATGTTTTCTTCCTCGCACGACTTCCTTGTGGAATCGATTACCATCAGCGATTTTTCCGGACCGATACGACTTAGGGACCTTCAAGAAAAGAGCCTACTCCTTTTTAAAAGGCCGGCAACGCATCTGCAATTCCCCTGGTGTTGCGGTTGTTCATGGGCGGCGGTAGTCACTTACCATCAGGTGAGCCGCATGCTCGTTTGCCCCCTCTCCTATAAAAAAAAAAAAAAAAAAAAAAAAAACTCTCCGTGGTAAATGCGAAAGAAAATACAAAGAGATGCAACATCTCTTCGCAGCGCCAATGTGTCGAGCCGATCGGAAAGGACTCGGTCGTCGATGATTCGAGCCGCTCTGCGCTGAATGTGGTCAAGTGGCCTTCCACAGTGCCAGCTCCTTAGCTGGCAGTGGGGAGCCCCAGCCCAGAGATGGGAACAGTATTACATGTGAGGCCGAACCTGCGCCTTGTAAAGTTGCAGGCGTTGTGCCGGCATGAAATACTGTCCCGCTCTGCTGAGCACGCCAAGCTTTTTAGAGGTCAATTTGACCTTCTCTTCCAAGTGACCACGAAACTGCACGTTACTCGATATGTCGACGCCGAGGATTCCGATACTGGCTGAGGCAACAAGGGGAGTACCTTGAAACTGAGGAGATACGACAAAGGGGTTCTTTTTAGCGGTAAACGCGCAAACTTGTGTCTTCTGAGAATTAAACTGGACTAGATTTAGTCGCCCCCAATCCGAGACTTTGTCCAGCAAAGACTCGACTTCAGAGATAAGTTTGTTCCGGTACTCGGCGACGTTTTCCCGAGAAATATTGGCACGGCCGGTGTATAGAGCATCACCAGTTATTGTTCTATTTGAACTACGCCTGTCAGTATTCATATATATATATAAAAAGTTACACCTTGAATCCTACAACCTTCTCTGCGTGATAAACATAGAAATGAGTATATCCGCAGTAGAACCAGAGTAACCGACATAGCGCAACGAATTAATAAGCTGAAGTGGCAGTGCGCCGCCCATATAGCTTGAAGAACCGACAACCGATGGGGAAGAAAGGTTCTTGAGTGGCAGCCTCGTACCGGTAGGCGAAGTGTAGGGCGACCCCCCACGAGATGGAGTGACGACCTGGTAAGACATGCAGGAAGTCGATGGATGCAGGTGGCTCAGGACCATGCTTTGTGGCATTTCTTGGGGGAGGCCTATGTTCAGCAGTGGACTTATGAAAGGCTGTAATGATGATGATGATGATGATGATGATATGTTATCTGTGAAAATACATATTTTAAATAATATTACTGATCTTATTATATAGCTTTTACTTACTCTATATAAGGATCTTAAAAAACTGAATGTCAAATGGAGTTTTAGCGGGAACGTGAACGTTGGAGGATTGCTGTCCTTGTATTATTATTTAAATAATAGTTTAAAGTGGGTTTTGATATGTAAAAGTGATGCGATTTTGTGTATTAAGTGTCCGCGTGTGAAATGTGAACTGTTACTGGAAACGGTGAAACAAGTGCTCTGATGGTGATGTGAAATTCAAGATAATGTGTCTGTCTGCTTAGGCGCCTTGAGATACCATCGCCAACTGTCAGCTGTCTGCTGGCTCAAGTTGCCGAACGCACACTGGTTAAAAGATATATCTCATCTCACAGTGTGAAAGCCAATCGCGGGATATAATTTATATTTCGGGATATAATATATATTATATCCCATAGTGAAAAGTCAGCTTTATTGTATCTATTGTCTACGGTATATATGTAGTTGTAATCACGTCGAGTTTTGGCGGGAACTTGACTTGTGGTTTACTGCTTTTGTATTATTGTTTAAATAATGGTTTGAAGTGAATTTTGATATATAAAAGTGGTGTGGTTTTGTGTATTAAGTGTCTGCGCATATGAACTATTAGTGGAAACGGTAAAACAAGTGCTCTGATAGTGATGTGATTTTCAAGATAAGGTGTCTGTCTACTTTAGCGCCTTGAGATACTATCGCCAAGTGTAAGCTGTCTGCTGGCTCAAGCTTTCGTCAAAATTTCTCAAGGGCTGCACAATGTGACGCATCAACATATTGTTAAGCAGTGTACTATGAAGGATAATTAAACTTTGTAACTTCAGGCTCAGAAGGGGTAGAACCCGGAGCCGTAAAGCCAGTTATTAAAAAAGTGTAATCACATCAAATGTATTTTCAAATTTTTAACGTATATGTAAAGGCTGTATGGCTTAGTTCCTTTGCCTGTTCTCTTGAGCTAAGAATAAAAACAACATTTAACGTATATGCAATGTCAAATCAAAATTTGAATTTTAAAATTGTAGACAACAAACATTGTATAAGTGCTGCAGGTAGATAAAACGTTATTTTACTGTAGAAATGGAAGATTTTGATGTATTTACTAATGAGATTGAATTCACAAAGCCATTTTATGCCAATGTTCTTAACAAGTATGTAAAAGATATACCATCAACTCCCAATGGACCAAACTACCAGAGTGAGTACCTAAAACCCAATTTTTAAATTATAGTTTGTTTTGATGGTATCTATCAATATTTTTAACTTTACATTATTAAGAGCTGATTTTTCAATCACCATAGTTATTTATAGGATAAAACAACAAATTAATAGTTACAGATGTGTGATTAAAATTTCCCAACTGTTTCACTTTAATATTTAGTCAGGTTGTAATTTATTTGATGAATAATTTATATCGGACTATTGAAAAATCAGCCATAAAGAAGTACAAATATATTCAAAATAATATTATGTAAAAGCCAGGTAATTTATAAATACATCATCCTATCTGTAAATATTATTGTTGTTATTACAGCTCTTTGCTGAACATACATAATTATATATCATCATACATAAATTATATTATTATTATTCCAGGTAGCAGAAAACTGTATGCTGAAGAGTGTCTGGGAGAAAGTAATGAAGCAGATTGTGCTTTCTATTTAAGTGAATCGGTATCTGCATCTCTAAGGACATTGGCTGTGTACAGAGATGAACAATTGAGAACAACAGGTTTGGTTAAATATCATTGTTATCATTATCCATGATGGAACGGAGGTGTATGCATTTAGGGTTGGAGGTTATGAGTGCAAACAAATGTTCCATTTATCTCCGGAATGGTATGACCAATTTAGATAGATATTATGGTCACGACCCTGGGTCGTGATGCTCAGTTTTGCTTTGTATGCCGATCACAACCCTTTTCTACAGAATTCCTTGAATTTATTCTAAAAATTCAATGAATTTCGGGGTAGTCTTTTGTTGCGTTGTGTCTACATTCTTTAGCTACACACACATAGGATGCATTTACATAAGAAGGTGCGGTGGGGTGAGTCCAAGGGGAGGGATTGCAAGGAATGCATTGAGCTGCCCGGCATGCCATTATGGACATGTGAAATGAGCAGTATGTGTCATATTATTCCCTTCACAGGACTTTAAATTAGTGTTAGTGCATTTTCCACGAGCCAGCTTGAATGGTGAGAAACAGAAAAATGTTTCAGTAAAGTGTAACATTAAAGCCATAGTAAATATCCCTTATAAGGAAATTTATGGTGAAGCCTTTGTTCAGCAGTGAATTTTAACAGGTTGTAATTAAGTTACAACATATATGTATATATATTATGTTTTCCTCACAATGTTTTCCTTCATTGCTACATGTTAAATTAGAATTTAAAATTGCAAACAACAATTTAATTGTTGCCGGCAAAGATCTACCTTGAGATGTTGGGATACTTTTTTCAGCAAGTGCTTAGCCCCATAGCTACCACAGCTTTAATACCACTAATTTATAATTTCATAAAAAGTAATAATGAAATTTCTTTCAGGTGATAAAATTCAAAAAATTACAAATTATGTGAAGCCAATTCAGGATTTGATAGAATCTCAACCGATCTCAAATCAGATGTAAGTAACTATATAAAGTAAAACCTGAACATGTATTCTGTTTAATGTTGATATCTTCTAATTGCCTCTAGCAAAAAATGTTAGTTGTTTAAGCAAGGTAGCCAAATACTAAATGTCCTTATGTATATGTAAGTATATCTTTTTTATTGTATTGTATGAGTTATCGCTAAGAAAATACTACTCTTGTGCTTTAGGGTATTAACAGGTGACAGTAGCCTAATGGTAGGGTACGGACCGAAAACTCAAAAAGGTCACAGGTTCGAATCCACCATTCGACTATTGTTGTGATACACTCCTATCACAAGCATTTTTCAGCTTACCAGGAGTGGTTAAAGGGAATATTAGTAATGTTAATAGCATTTTTTATTTATTTATTAAAAATTAAAAAAAAAATACTGATATATAGCTATAATGTGAAAGTTAAATAAATGTTCTCATTATTGTAAACTATTGAAAATAGCATTCCTTGGGGGAGGCTTATGTTCAGCAGTGGACTTATGAAAGGCTGTAATGATGATGACGATGATGATTGAAAATATTTATTATTTTTTTATAATTGTAATATCATCGACTTGTATCCACTGATGTTTAAAGCCATTTCCAATAATGCATTGGCATGCATTGATATTATCATCATCATCTCTAAGTAATGCCACAAGGCACAGCCCTGAGTCACCTGCATCCATCGACTTTCAATCAGGGTATGTCCTACATGCCGATTACCAATATGAATCTGCCACTCTTACCTTTCCTACCTTTCTCTTACTCTTATCTTCCCATCGGTGGTAATTTTTTTTATAGAAATAAGCTGACAAACAAGGTACACAGTCCACCTGATGGTAAATGGATGCTGTGATTCTAAACTTCTACCTCAATCAATAATCAAAATGCAGATGCGTTGTCACCTCTGAGGACTAATATGGAATGCCTTATTTTCAGTAAAAAGGTTCTCCAGTTCTCTGCATTCACCATACGAAACAGCAGCATTAAGTTGCTATTATACACTAGTATTTTGTGAGCGGGTGGTCCTTTCCCGGTTGAGCCGACCTATTTGTGTTACCTCCATAATGTAGCTGTAGCTACCACATATGATTGCATCAGGGGCGTAGCTACCGCCGTATCAATGATACGGGCCACCGGGCTACAGAGGCCCCGAACATAATATGTAAGCAAAAATTCTAAGGACTTCTATAGGACAGGATGTTGGTTTGAATTGTTTGGCTAGCTTAGTTTCTAGGAGTATTAATTGTAAGTAATAACTTATAATCAATATATAATTATTTTAATTCAATGCAAGAGTTTTTGTTCTTTTTGTGAAAAATCTTTACCCTTCATTTGGGCCCCCCGACAAATTTTGATACGGGGCCTCTCTAAGGCACGCTACTCCACTGGATTGCATCCATATTTTTAAAGATTTGCACATACTCATCATACCAGGCTAGCAAGTTGATGGGTGCGGAGACAATATCCTCTCAATGACAATGCTGTGTCCCATCACTAATTTGTGAAATTTTGTCTGGTACTATACTAAATAAACGGCTATTTTTTGGTCTTCAGAGCCTTGTTTGTTAGTTAGCTAGGTTAATATGCAGGTGAGGTAGATACTTGATTCACCTGAAGTATTCCCCTTACATTACGTGAAACTTTTTAGTCATTACTAACAAAGGTTTGTGAGTGGCAGCTTTGTACCGATAAGCAAAATGTAGGGCTGCCCTCTATTAGATGGGAGTGATGACTTGGTGAGACATGCAGGAAGTCCATAGATGCAGGTGACTCAAGATTGTGCTTTGTATCATTCCTCGTTCGAAGCCTGTGTTCACAAGTGGACTTGTGAAGGGCTCTAATGATGATGATGATGATGATTATTCAGAAAAAAATTTAATTGTGATGTTTTTTAAAATATTGAGGAACATTTTTATTATTTCATATCTTAGATCCAAAAATGAAGAAAAAATTCTTGACTTCATATCAAGCGAAGCTAAACAAACTGCTGACATTCTTAGGAAATTTAAAACTGATGATGATCTTCCATTCTATATGCGATATATGAGATTCAGCTCCGAGAATAAAACAGAAAACTTTCTAAAAATACTGAAAGAACTTCCTAAAGGTAAGAATAGATTTTATAATATGCTTCATTATACTACCATAATATAAAGTTAATATTTTTAACACTCTTCTTAGTGGTTTAACTTAATTTAACTGTGATTCATTGATGTGTTGCATTTACCACTCAAGTCAACGCAAAGTTTTGAGTGGTTAATTTTGGGTCCAAATGTATTGTAATATAGTTTCATGGGAACAATATACATTACCTTGTCACTATGTGCATAAAAGCTATCTCTACGTAGTATAAAACAAAGTCTCTACCAGCCGTGTGTACGCTTAGATCTTTTAAACTACGCAACGAATTTTGATGTGGTTTTTATCAATAGATAGATTGATTAATATAATACATGCATATATTGTCGAGGTCCAAAAATCACCTGTGCGAAGCCGGGGCGGATCGCTAGTATTGTGATGTAGCCCACATGTCATTCGTGTTTAGTATTTTATTAAGTCTAATTTAACACTTTCACTGTCCGGTTTTCAGACACAATAGTAAGACAATAGCAATGACCTATATGTAGTGCACGGGACAGCGAAAGGGTTAACATCTATTTCAAGTGACATACATACTTCCTCCTTGACACTTTAATTTTAACCACGACCGTCTACGATGCAGCACACACAACATTTATATTAGTACTAGCTGTTACCCGCGACTTTGTCCGCGTTGCGTGATATATAATAAATAATGCCCGGCTGACTGTAACTTTATCATGAAGCAGAGGTAGAAGCGACTTCTACTCTCCTATGCATGCACGCTACACCGCTTGCTCCACTTTTCCGCGGCAAGATAACACACAACACTGAACACATAGTGCTTATAAAATCGTTGTTTCTTGTTCCGTATTTGATGTCTTTATTTTCTTTTCATTAATGGTTCGGTATAATTTTATAACTAGAAATAGTACAATTTGAAAGGAAAGCATCTCGTCTTACGTATAACATTTCGAATAAATATTTTTTCTTACTGGCAAGCACTCTTTAACTTTGAAGCGAGCAACCCTTTTTTCAACTACACCCGCAACGACCACTAGTAACGGCAAGTTCCTCGTCAACGCAAGCATTAACGCTTTTGACGGTACCTTGTACGCGCGCGTTCCGTTACCAGCAATAGATAAGATCTCATTTCCCTGCTCCATCGAATACTAAGGCAGCTTTCCATACCTGACCTGTGGATAAAAGAACAATAGTGGACACATTCGGCCAGAAGATACATCACATCGGGCCGGTAAACGTTGGGCAGCTCAGAAATTACCCAGGTGAGTGTTTGCCAGGTCTTATGTACATAACATAATTGTTTTTGGACCTTGCGAGCCAAATCTTTCCTTTCAAATCGTGCTGTCTTAGTAAGAGTGTTATCTTTAGTTTCACACACACTTTAAATTTTAAAATTTAACGTACATACGTACTTTCACCGACGTGTCGTATAGGCCATCTTTGCAACGCAAAATGCCGGATCCAGCACGAGTTGAAGAATTTATGTGTGATGTTTCATGCGAGCAGGACATGTTCGAACGCGATATTATTTTAGATGATTTAAAAAGAACATTACAGTTCGCAACGACCGATGAACAAAAGTTCCGTTCGCGAACTAAAGATCTTACGGCACAACAAAGAAAGTTTAGTAAATTACAAACTAAAATAGAAAAATGTCTAATAAAGACAAAAATGTTCAACAAAGATGAACAAATTAAAATTCGTAACGATTTTGATGACGCATACTACGCTATTGTCACGCATCTGAGCAAATTAAAACAAGATGACGAACAAGTCAGGCGTATGAGTAGGTCTTTTAACTCCGAATCGTTTGCACAATCCCACAATCCAAAATTGCCTAAAATTCCCTTGCCCAGCTTCTCGGGTAATAGTACTGACTGGAATTCATTTTATGACTTATATATTTCACTCGTACATAACAATAATGCCTACACGGATGCGGAGAAATTCAGATATTTACTCCTTACTTTAAAAAATGAACCTTATAATTTAATTAAATCAATTCCCATTACCGACGCGAACTATTCTGTAGCCTTACAGGTATTAATTTCGCGTTATGAGAACAAAAGAATTATAGCTTCCACTCATCTCGACAGAATTCTCGATGTTGAACCTTGTTCAGAAAAATCAACAATCAGCTTACGTAATTTACTAAACATTTACCAAGAAAACATTAAAGCACTTGAAGTCATGAAATTTCCTACAAACGAATGGAGTTTTATCTTATTAACGATTTTACTGCGAAAAATTCCTTCATCTATCCGCAAACGTTTTGAGTTATCATTAAAATCACCATCAGAAATTCCTGATATCAACACACTAATATCCTTTTTGGAGCGGGAGTTGTCCGCAAGCGAAATTTCTCACCCTAATTTCGGTCAAATTACTAAACACGAGGGTCAATCAAAATCAAACGCACCATCAAGCAGCGGCGGTAGCCGCACGACGGCATCTCAGGGCGCACGCCGTATATTTATAGGAAACAACACATCACAGCCTGTTTCAGAGTCTGCATATAATATTCCAAACAAATTTCCGAGTGTTAAATATTTCCATTGTATATGCTGCGACGCCCAACATACACTAACTAAATGTCCGACGTTTTTAAACCTATCACCCAAGGAGCGCTATACATTTATTAGTGGTAAAAACGTTTGCTTTAATTGTTTACACGTTGGACACGATGTTAAGCAATGCAGATCAAATTTTATGTGTCGGACGTGCAACAAACATCATCATACGCTAATTCATTTCGATAATCAATCTTATGTAGCTGCTACCGAGACAGCTGATCCGCATGACAGCTCCGCTTCACTCCCTCCTACAGCGTACGATCCCGCCACTTCGAGCGATTCTCAGCTGGTTATGACGTCGATACATCACACGACTCGCGACGCTAGCGCGCAATCTAGTTCTGCTCCGTCAGTGCGAACGAGTACAGTGTTACTGTCAACAGCGCTCATCGATGTTTACGTAAATAATCATAAGCGATCGACCGTGCGTTGTCTCATAGATTCGGGAAGCCAGGTTTCCTTTATTAGTGAGGCGTGCGTACAACGTTTGGGCTTAGCGAGAAAACATGTCAATATTCCTCCTGTTTACGGAATCAATGAAAACAAACCGGTTTATCCAAAGGGTTTAGTTTCGTGCTATATTACACCAAAAAATAAAACACAACCTTCGGTACAAATCGAAGCCTTAATCTTACCGAAGCTTATTACTACACAAATGCCCTCTTGTCAATTACCTTATAAGGAATGGTCCCACATTAAAAATTTGACATTGGCTGATCCCGATTTCTTCACACCACAACCCGTAGAAATGTTACTTGGAGCGGACATACTTCCCCAAATTCTATTAAACAATACGGTGACTGGGCCTCCTGGTACACCCATAGCAATAAATAGTATTTTTGGATATTTACTGCTAGGCAAGTTAGATTTTAATATTCATTCACCCGTTTCATTCCCAGTTCAAGTGTTTTACAGCTCGGTTAACGATGAGTTTGATCTTCAACGCTTTTGGGAAATAGAATCAATTACAGAACAAAGGTCTCTCACTCCCGACGAAGTTTTGTGTGAGACAATTTTCGAAAACACGCATACGCGTAATGATACAGGACGATATGTAGTCGCTCTGCCTTTCAAGCCTGACGCCTTGCCCCTTGGTGAGTCACGTGACATTGCTATCGCTCGATTTCGCAGATTAGAATACAAGCTTGAACGCAATCCGCCACTGAAATATAGTTATCATGCATGCCTCCAGGAGTACTTGGACCTTGATCACATGGAACCTTGTGATGGCCTTTCACCTCAATCTGGTGGCGTCTATTATATTCCGCACCACTGCGTGGTGAAGGAATCTAGCGAAACAACAAAAATGCGAGTGGTCTACGATGCAGGTTGTAAGACTACCCATGGGAACTCCCTGAATGATGTTTTGTTTACAGGACCCAAACTCCATCTGGATATAGTCGACGTTCTACTGAAGTTTCGAATTCATTCTATTGCCTTCACAGCTGACATTAAACAGATGTACCGCAACATTTTAGTCCGTGACACAGATAGGGATTTTCAGCGTATCGTATGGCGCACTTCTCCTGACGAACCTATACGTGACTATCGCCTTCGTACTGTAACTTTCGGAGTTAGTTCCTCACCTTACCTCGCACTTCGTACAATGCGACAACTTGCGCTTGATGAAGCCACTCGTTTCCCACGTGCTTCTCAAGTCATAATAGGTGACATATTCGTAGATGATATAGTGTCAGGCGACAATACGGAGGCAGAAGCTCTTGCTCTACAACAGGAGTTAATAAGCATATGTCAGGCTGCCGGCTTTACTCTTCACAAGTGGCACAGTAACTCGCCTGCGTTACTCGCTGCGGTTCAGCCCACAAGTTCTCATGGTGAGCGGCACCATTACGTACCTTTTGCGGAGATGGAAAATGACATGAAAACTAAAGTACTTGGTCTTCAGTGGAACTCAAATTCAGATTCATTTACTTTCAGTGTTCAAATTACCTCTAACAAATGTACTAAGCGTTCGATTCTTTCAGAAATTGCTAGAATTTATGACCCACTTGGCCTTTTATCGCCAGTCACCATTTTTGCTAAGCATTTAATCCAGTTGTTGTGGATAGCACGTGTAGATTGGGACGAACACCCACCCCAAGATATAATAAATTCATGGGCCAGTTTTACTAACGAGCTTCCACTCTTATCGAAAGTTACTTTTCCGCGACACGTATTTACCCACACTCATTCTGTACAACTTCATGGGTTCTCAGATGCATCCGAGAAAGCGTATGCCGCATGCGTCTATCTTCGCGTGCGGGGAGACATGGGTGCAGTGGATACTTACCTTCTTTTAGCTAAAACACGCGTGGCGCCTACTAAACGTATGTCCATACCGCGCCTAGAGCTCATGGCGGCCCTATTATTATCTAGATTAATGAAAGCTACCTTAAATATTTATGGGAATTGCATACCTCGCGATCAGATATACGGATGGTCTGACTCTTCTGTAGTACTAGCGTGGTTGCGTTCTTCGCCACATGAGTGGAAAACCTTTGTTTCCAATCGCATAACAGAAATTATAAGTAATATTCCGTATTGCCGTTGGCGGCATGTTCCGTCTGCAGACAATCCGGCAGACGCGGCTTCACGCGGAATGCTTCCCGCCAATTTTTTACATCACAGCATATGGTTCCGCGGTCCTCACTTCTTAAAAAAGGATGAGGCTACTTGGCCTGTTTTCAAAGCTACTCAGACACAAGAAGAAAAACGTAACATTGCAATTGTTTCCAATCCATGCACTTCTTCTTCCACCAACGACGACGTAGAAATTATATCACGTTATTCATCCCTGGGTAAACTGGTACGTGTCACTGCTTTATTATTCCGTTTCTATAAAAAATGTAAGAAGGTTCAAACCCCTCTTTCTAAACATATTTCCGTAACCGAGTTCAATTTTACTTTGAATCGACTCATATTTCTTGTACAACAATCCGTTTTTCGTGATGACATTTACAACCTTTCTAAGGGAAAACTCCCATCAAATCAATTAAGACGCTTAAATCCCTTTATTGACTCAAACAATTTTGTTCGCGTAGGTGGGAGGATACATAAGTCCCTTTTACCATATGAATCAAAACACCAATTAATCTTACCTAAAAAACATCCGTTATCGATTCTAATTATTAATTACACTCACGTATCTCACTTGCATGCCGGTGCGCAAAGTACACAATACATACTTCTACAAAAATATTGGATCTTATCCGGGCGTGACGTCATACGGCAATGTATTCATCGCTGTGTCCGTTGTTTTCGAGCATGTCCCGTGCGCCAGCAGCCCAGCATGGGTCCATTGCCTGCCTCACGTTTGCGACCCGAACGACCCTTTCTTAAAACCGCCGTTGATTTCGCTGGTCCTTTTTACGTTCGAGCTAACAAAGTGCGAAATGCAAAAATAGTAAAATGTTACGTCTGTGTATTTGTATGTATGTGCGTTAAGGCCATACACCTCGAAATAGTTTCGGAACTTACAACAGAGGGTTTCTTAGCGGCACTACGTCGCTTCACGTCTCGCCGAGGTTTATGCAAGGATATTTATTCCGATTGCGGTAAGAATTTCATCGGCTGTGACAGGTACCTAAAGGACTTGTATGCCTTCCTACGGAATGACACTGTACAAGGCGCGCTCCAGAATAAGACTCTGGAAGAAGGAATAACATGGCATTTTCAGCCACCGTATGCAAGTCATTTTGGTGGCCTCTTTGAAGCGGGCGTCAAAAGTTTTAAACACCATTTTCATCGGGTAGTAGGTCCTCGTATCCTAACCTATGATGAGATGCATACCCTACTATGTCAAATAGAGGCAGTGCTAAACTCGCGTCCGCTATGCATATTGAGCTCCGATGCGCAGGATCCCCTCCCTCTAACTCCGTCTCACTTTCTGATAGGTGAACCGTTAACAGCTATCCCCGACGTTTCACTTGTGGATGAAAATCCGGGTAGATTATTCAGGTGGCGTTTGATACAACAATCGGTTCAACATTTCTGGAAAAAGTGGAGCTTAGAGTATTTGCATGAAATTCAACAACGTGGCAAATGGTTCACCAATCGTGGAAATCCGGTCCGTGAAGGCATGATTGTGGTAGTATGCGATGATAACCTTCCACCTTTACAATGGCGACTTGCGCGTGTACACCATCTGCATCCAGGTTCTGATGGGATTACGCGTGTTGTAACTCTCCAAATTGGGAAAACATATTTGAAGCGACCAGTTAATAAAATTTGTCCACTTCCTATAGAATAATAAACGTAAATAATGATTCATATTCCTTATTTTACTTTCTTTAGAAATAACTTAAATATTTATCCGTAATTTTAAGATATAGTTTGATACTTACTAGGTTTAACTTTATTTATACTCCTTACATTTTTTTTATCAAGGGCTAGTTTGTATTACAGATTTGTTTAGATTTAGTTAAAAGATACTGCGTACTTTTAAGGTGAGCGGCATGTTCCGTATTTGATGTCTTTATTTTCTTTTCATTAATGGTTCGGTATAATTTTATAACTAGAAATAGTACAATTTGAAAGGAAAGCATCTCGTCTTACGTATAACATTTCGAATAAATATTTTTTCTTACTGGCAAGCACTCTTTAACTTTGAAGCGAGCAACCCTTTTTTCAACTACACCCGCAACGACCACTAGTAACGGCAAGTTCCTCGTCAACGCAAGCATTAACGCTTTTGACGGTACCTTGTACGCGCGCGTTCCGTTACCAGCAATAGATAAGATCTCATTTCCCTGCTCCATCGAATACTAAGGCAGCTTTCCATACCTGACCTGTGGATAAAAGAACAATAGTGGACACATTCGGCCAGAAGATACATCACATCGGGCCGGTAAACGTTGGGCAGCTCAGAAATTACCCAGGTGAGTGTTTGCCAGGTCTTATGTACATAACATTTCTTAAAACTTTAATAACTTCATATTAAATGAAGTTGTTGCAATTTGTTTAGATAAGGGCCAAGTGGCTAAGAAATAAAACAGAAAATCTAATTGAAATCTATCCAGTTGTTTTTTCGTAATGCACGCACAACTGCAAACCTCTATCATTTTATTTATTTAGATTTTCAGAGCAGTCTAATTAATACACTATACTATAGATGGTTTAACCTCCTACCTCTGGGTAGGCACTATCCTCTTATCTATTTCTGCCGCTAAATGGCAGTGCTTGTACTATGCTCCAGTCTGACGGCAAAAGTAAATAACCAGTGTGTGTTGTCAGTGATGACTTATGGAAACAAAACATGTTCCTTCACTAGTGGCTGACGACATCGAGATTGCTTGCTCTCCGTCGGGATAGCGCTATGCTCGGAGTTTCGCTGCGTGATAAAATCCGTAAAGGGGATATCCGCAGTAGATCAAGAATAAGGCTTTAAGAAGCCAGAATAATCTTGACGAAACGGCGACCGCCGAGATTTTAGCCGACGTCAACACCGTCCATCGACTATTTTCTGTATTACATAGAAAAGTGCAAAGATAAAGAGGCGACTGATGCTTGCGCATTACTAAGAATTATGTCACGGTTAAGCATCTTCAATTACAATGCAGGATGTGGTGCTGTAGCCTCGTCCAGTAGGCATCACCAGCTACCAAGTGTTTAAGTTTTAAGTACGTAAGAGTTTTTATTATATTTATTGAATCGTATTTATTTGCGTCGTATTAGTAGCTCTGGGTCTAAGCGCTCGCTGTATATTTCGCCCGGATTTGATCCCTGGCAGCACCAATGAAATTTTTCAAGACCGGGACGATTGCATAGGGACCCGTAATCTTAGTCGTCTAACCTTCTTTTTGAGAGAGGACAGACAGGCTGTGAGTGACACACCTTCTCAGGGATCACGCCCACCTCGTTGTTCCCGAACCCAACGTGGTGTGGTATGAGTTTCTGAGGATAGAAGGTCACCAATTGGTTGATATCTGCTACAGGGCAGGCCATAAGGAGCCGCTGTCCGCTTTCAGTTGGTTTGTTGGTGTTGTCATCGGGGGGACACAGGGTGACGGAGCAGGCACGTTTGCGCGAATATATTCAATTTCGGGGAAAAATTATATTTTCTCGAGTAAAATGGGGAATAAAAATAAAACTGAAAATTTTATTTTTATTCCCCCCACTTAGGCTACATCACCACAATAAAACTTTCACCATGTTAGGCTACATCACCACTTACCATCAGGTGGGATCGTCGATAAGCGCTGGCTTAGTAGAGTATAAAAAAATCTCAATTAAAAATTTTAATATTTTTAAGACATTTTTTTAAATGTAAAAACTATTTAAAGAGCTTGTGCCGTTTTGGGGAAATTTTGCAAAAAATGACAAAGATAGGTACTCTTTGGGGATTTTTTTTTCTAATAAGTGGTTGACAAAAATACAATTTTGTTCAGTTAAAAACTTATTAAATCCTTTTCTGACACCTTGTATTTTTTCTTTGCGGATGAAATGAACAGCTATTGTGATTTTTTTTAGTTAAATAACCAAGAATTTAAGCATTTCACCCGATCTTATGGCTTTAACTACCTAACTGACACCTGCTGGATCGTATTGGGTAGTGTCTTATGCTGTGACTACACGGCGGGACCTTTTTCGTGTTATGACTTCAATTAATTTTTCTTGAGAAGCTTACGCATGGTGCACTGTTTCAACACCTTATAAATTTTTTTTTATTAAATGTATTTTCAGAGTGGACTATAATACAATTGACAGCACCATACAATCCCAATGAGAATTTGAAGCCCCTAAATGAATACCGTTGTGAAATTGACTCTATCTATTTGTCCATGTTCACAAATGATTATCTTGATTTCAATAGCGTTGGGCCTCTCACAGTGGAAATACCAGCTAATATCATAAAAGGTGAATGAATACATTTTCAGTACTCTCTCTTTCTTTCAGTCTTTAGGAAGTGACTATGTTGAAGCCAAAGGAGGATTATTTTCAATTATTTTTATTATTATATGCTTTTTTTTTGCTATTTATGTATTTATTTATTATTAAAACAGCATATCATCGATGCGCCTGCAAAACCTCAAAAGTAAAATAATCCAACTTTTCAGCAGGAACAAAAAACTAGCTTTTTAGGGTTCCGTAGCCAAATGGCAAAAAACGGAACCCTTAAGGATTCGTCATGTCTGTCTGTCTCTCCGTCCGTATGTCACAGCCACTTTTTTCCGAAACTATAAGAACTATGCTGTTGTAACTTGGTAAGTAGATGTATTCTGTGAACCGCATTTGATTTTCACACACAAATAGAAAAAAAAAAACAATAAATTTTTCCCCATACTCAGAACGGAAACTCAAAAACTATTTTTCCATCAAGCCCTATCTATGGATAGGTCTTCAAAAATGATATTGAAGTTTCTTATACCGTTTTTTTCCAAACTGTATAATTTGCGCGAGAGACACTTCCAAAGTGGTAAAATGTGACCCCCCCCCCCTCCCTATAACTTCTAAAATAAGAGAATGATAAAACTAAAAAGAAATATATGATGTACATTACCATGTAAACTTCCATCGAAAATTGGTTTGAACGAGATCTTGTAAGTAGTTTTTTTTAAACATCATAAATCGTAAATTATGTTACTTGCTGCTACGGAACCCTTCATGGGCGAGTCCGACTCGCACTTGGCCGGTTTTATTTTATTTGTAGTTTAATAACTCATGTAAATTAATTATGTGAGAATTTTTTTGCTGTTTTTGTAACCAGTAGAAATAATACAAAAATATTTCTGAATACTATTAATTAATTTATTTAATAAAACAAGTTTAGTAGGTTTTGCAGGCGTAGTGACGGTTTTTATACATGGTAGAGCCAATCTGCAGCTATATATTATAGTTGTATCATGATTGGGTCGGCGCGACTGGGGCAGGATCACGCTCTCACTTGCCAGCGTAAAATAGCAACCTAATGCAGCTGTGTTTCGTATGGTGACTGTAGAGAACCAGAGATCATTTTTATTCATGGAAAATGCAGACATTTTCCATCAAAAGGTTTAAATTATTTATTAAGCAAAAATTGTCTAGTACGGGTTATTATACTACTAAAGAGTACATGACTGATAATAACCCCTGGGAATGAGGTGATCACTACCATGCTGTTTCTTAATGTTTCATAACAACTGTATAAAATATTATATTGTAAATTGTGTTTTAAAAAAAGTTCCGCTGGATTTCTTGCTTGTTCCTCCCAGGACAGAGTTTTTTTTGCGAACTAGTGGTAAAAGTAAAAAATGACTTTCAATAAGTATTATGTACTTTAAATCCATATTGAATAAAAATTATTCTATTCTATTGGTAATTAGGTCTACCATCTTAATCCGCAGGGGTGGTTACGCATCTGGTTTTTGATTCGTAATCGAAGATCGATGTAGATATCAATCAAATATACACAAGCTATCAGGTGGACTGTGTGTTCATTTATCGCCTTTATTCTATAAAAAAAAAATTTTACCATGGCGGCTGAAAAGTTCGCGCACTAAGGTACTTAACGATGAGTAATTAGCTTTACTCATGTCACTAGTTGCAACACTTAAGTAGTACAATCACTAATTAAGTTTGCACTCATAGTTCAATTATTTATTGAACAACTAACATCATCATGTCAGCCGAATCTGGAAATTCTCGGAATTTTAAACACCGCGCCATAAAATTCCTCGTAAATAAGGGAAATACAATGAAAGACATTTTTGAAGAGATGTCATCGGTTCTTCAGGATTCTGCGCCTTTATATACGATGGTGGAAAAATGGGCTCGCATATTTCAACAAGGTCGAGAGAGCTCTGAAGACGACCCTCGCCCGGATCGTCCTGTCACAGTATTTATCGAAGAAAACGTCCGAAAAGTCGAAAAAATCGTTCTGGCGGACCGAAGAATTAAATTGTGACAGATTGCTGAAGAACTGCAGATTAGCAAAGAACGATTTGGAGCAATTTTACATAAACATTTGTATATGAAAAAAATTAGCGTGGGCTGGATACCGAAAATGCTCACACTGCTGAGCAAGCAACGTCGATCGGAAGTTGCAAAGATTTTTTGGAGCTAATCGGCTATAACAAAGAAGACATTTGGCAACGGATAGTCACCGTACTAATATGATCCGGAGTCCAAATAAGAGTCCATGCCATGGACAAAAAAAGGAGAAAGGCCGCCGAAGAAATTCAAGCTGGAAAAGTCTGCGTTTAAGCTAATGGCGACTGTTTTCTGGGATGGCGAGGGAATTTTGCTTATCGGCTACCTACCCAGGGTAACTACGATAAATGGACCAATATTACGCCAATGTATTGACTCAGGTTCGCGAGGCTACATATTATACATATAGGTACAGAAACGACGTGGGGAAACTGACGCGCGTAGTGCTCTTTCTGCAAGACAACGCGCTCGTTCACACCGCACATGTTGCGAAGCAAGCCCTGAAAGACACGGGGTTGTCAGAGGTTGACCACCCTCCGTATAGCCCAGTCCTAGTACCTAGCGGTATTTTCCTGTTTTCTAATTTGAATAAGTACTTACGGGGCCGGAGATTTGCAGATGACAACGCAATGAAAGCTGCGGTTGATCGTCATTTTGAAGAGAAAGATACAGAATATTTTTTGGGTGGGTTAAAGGCATTGTATGTCAGATGTGAGAAATGTATTTAACTTGAGGGAGATTATATTGAAAAATAAAAAGTAGAAACCATATATTTTCTTTCATTAAGTACCTTAGACCGCGGACTTATCAGCCGCCCCTCATAATTTGTACTATAAGTTTTAAGAAGTTATTAAAAGGAGTTGGAAGATATAGTTCTTGAATTGTATTGCATATGCAATTCGTGTTTGCCATAGAATAGAATAGAATAGAATAGAATAGAATGATTTTTATTCAATATGGATTATTACATAATACTTATTGAAAGTCATTATTTTATTTACCACTGGTTCGGAAAATACATACATAGTACATATATAGAACATACATAGTTTAATCCAACTTTGATTCTATACATTTCAGAAGGAGAACAGCCACTCTTCACAGAATTGTATTCCCTGCTAGAGGAAAACTACAAAACCATTGACAATGCCCAGTTTCTTAATAACAAACGCCTTGTGCAGAACTATTGGAGCAAACGAGAGGATATTGACTTGAGGATGAAGGTTAGTTATACAGAAGATACTCTTTGTGGCTTGCTATTCCACCGGGGACTGATTGTTTTGTTTAGGTATGAAAAGTAACATCATCTTCATCTTTTTTAAATAAAACTAATTTTACGGATTTTATCGCGTATATTAACTTATTTTTATATTCCCGACGTTTCGGGTGCTTTCCGCTTTGCTTTGCTTCAAAATACCAGGAAAAAGAATCCTATCCTCTTTGATTATAAGCTTGATGATAATTTACTAATGAGAGTTAATGAACTGCGTGATCTTGGTGTTCAGTTGGATAGTAAGTTGTTACTGAGATCACATATTAATATCATAACTAAAAGAGCTTATAAAATGCTAGGTTTCGTTATGCGTATCTCAAAAGATTTTAAAAAGTCTTCAACAGTTATCTTACTATTTAACACTCTGGTGCGGTCTATTCTTGAGTATTGTTCTTCATGTTGGAATCCTCAATACAAAGTTTATATTAAAATGATTGAAACAATCTACAATAAGTTTCTGCGTCACTTAAAGCGATATAATTCTTCTGTAGACTCCATTATTGATAATTTAGGCAGCAATACCCTCGAGAAACGCCGTGATATAAGAGATCAAATGTTGTTGTACAAATTGCTTCATAATATCATCGACTCTCCCCTACTTTTAGGCAAAGTGAATCTTGCGTGTCATAGGTTAGGTGCACGAAATAAACCTCTTTTTGCATTACCTAAAGTTAAAACAAGGTATGCCTCAAATAATTTTGTATCTCGTACATGCAAAAAGTTTAACTTAAAATATTGTAAATTAGATATATTTCACCTTGAATATGATAGTTACAAAGAAAATATTGTAAAACTTAATATATAATTGGTAGTTTCACTTTGAGTTGTATATATGTATAATGTTACTTTTAACTACTTACTACTTAATGTTTTAATTTATGAATACCATTTAGCTAGTTTTATTCTTTTATATTTTAATTTTATACAACATAATATTGTGGTGGCAAGCTTTTATTATGTATTAGATATCTGTGGAAACTTCATTGGTTCTTAGGATTACTTTTATATGTTTTATTATGTAATTTATTATTGTACTGTATGTTTCCCTTAAAAAGCAAATAAATAAATAAATAAAATAAATTTCCAGCACCCGTGGTCACGGGGGACTGAGTTGTTTGACGTCCTGCTGTCATAGTTAGCCCGGCTACCTTCAGTTTTTTTTTTAACGTCGGGAATATAAAAATAAGTTAATATACGCGATAAAATCCGTAAAATTAGTTTTATTTAAAAATGTGTAGTGTTCGCGTAAATATAAGAAATCATTATCATCTTCATCATCATTACAGCCCTTCACAAGTCCTCTGCTGAACGTAGGCCTCCCCCAAGGAATCCCACAAAGGACGGTCCTGAGCCACCTGTATCCATCGACTTCATGCATGTCTTACCAGGTCGTCACTCCATCTAATGGGGAGGTCGCTCTACACTTCGCCTACCGGTACGAGGTCTCCACTCGGGAACCTTTTCTCACCAATTTCCTTTTTTCCTTTTTTTGAAGAGTAACAATATAATTACAGACAATGCAGCACATTATTTTAGTCCTTAAGGGTGATAATATATTACAGTAACACACATAGTGAACTGTTACTTTTGTCGCTGGTCACTAATATTGAAAGAAACACAATTTTGAGTGTCCCATGTTGGTCTTGGACTTATAGGTCCCATGTTTATTAATCATATCATTGTCGATTTATGGACAAAAAATGTGCCAACCATATTACTTGTTTAGCATGTCCTAAAAGGCAACTAATGGGATATTGGGTTTGTGATTATGTAGGCGATGGGCTAGCCACCTATCATTTCTTTTAAAATTTTCCATCTAACCGCATATTTCTTTGCTGAGCGTGGTCCGAAATCTCACTGTTTTTTTTTATTGTGCCCTTACCGACTTAATGCTGTGTACAAATATTTCAAGTATAAAACTATTTTGTTTTTGGCTAGGAGTTCAATGCAGGACCCACAATTAAGCAGGTGGAGTTGTTATATTATTCATCAGTCATCGGAATCTACCACTGAATAGGTCATTTTATGAATGCGCCTAATGACGCTTTTGTTGGAAAATTTGCCAATATTAAACAGTCATGCGGGCGGGTTGGCTAGCAGAGTTGATAATTTCCTGATAGAATTTTGGTCGCAGTCGCCAGACTTCACGGAGACTAGATATCTGTGCATGACGGGATTTAAGTGCATGGGTGTGTATACAGCAATCTGTAACGACCGGAGATGAATCAGATGTAAGATTAACGGCTTTACTTACTTTTCGAGGCATGGGTTGGATTACCACCAACTTCCTGACTTTGATCTTCTACTAAGAATTAGTACTTGACGTAAGAACCCATTTAGGCTAATTCGAATCTAGGACCACGTGAGCAGGAGTAAAGCTTAAAGACTACTACACCAACGAGGCAGTCAAAACAGATCTGATACCTTGGCACTAGTATTTTTGTTCCTCATTTACGACATTTGGATAGATTTTCCATTAGTCTACTTCCAAAGCTCGTCTGTCAACCTGTGTGTGACGTGTAGATAAGGTTGACATTTGAAAACACTTTGGCTGTAAACATTATAGAGCTTGAAATATGACAGATACGACAGAAATCTGCAATATTATCAGTATAAGGTATGGGTGACTCTTGTCTTACGCCGTTGGTCTTGTAAGTTGGGTTATACCCTGAAGATTTGTCTGGATGCCTTGCTTCTAACTGGTGACGAAATGGAATTCTGTATATACCAGACCAAAGGCTTATACATCTTTAGACTAGTGTACGCAGTGCCAAAAAATTGAATGGTCTTGTAATGCAGTCGTTAATCTGGCTTAGTTCTCTTTTTATTTTGAACTGATACCCGCGACTTCGTCCGCGTTGCTTGATATATTAACAAAGTTTTCGTATGTGCGAAGGAAAAAACATCAAAAAGACAACATTTATTTGTAAACAATGTTATTTGTTGCTCCGTTTGTAGCTAAAATATATAAATTATTTGAGTTAGGAACGCGAGAGCAAGCGACATACAGTTGGGACCGGGCCAAGTGTCTAAGAAATAAAACTTAAAAAACCTAATTGATATCTATCCAGTAGTTTTTCCGTGATGCGCGCACAGCTATAAACCTCTATCATTTTATTTATACAGAAAATGATGATGGTAGCTCTAGCTTAGGTGCTCGCCGTTTTCTTAATATGCCTGGAACCCAAATTCGATTCTCGAAAGAACTTTTCTTTTTGACATTTTTCTTTTAGAAATAAAAGGCGCCTTTGTGTAGGCTGTTTTTAATTTCATATATATTATTTATTACAGAGTGTAATTAATGTGATGGATAAGGAATGGTTGGGTGGATGGACTAGTCTTCTTACTGGGAAACTGCAAGATGAAACACTGCGAGATAAAGTCATAAAGTTAGTTGACGCTACTATATCTGACTGGGGGTAAGTGTACAAGTAAAACATGTTTCTGTTCTTTATCAACCTGTACCTTTCCACTGCTGGACGGTGGCCTGTTTCATTGTAAATAAGATTATGAAGGGTTCGTAGGTATAGCTTAATTAGTTTCGCAGTTCATGGACTTACCATTAAGCTACTGTTACTTTGATATTGGAAACTCTTAATACGTATTATACATGTTAAGATTAATGAAAATAAGACTAAACCATTAGGCTACTGACGCCTTTAACTCTTTTTTTTTCAGGTTCATAAAGTTAACCACCAAGCAGAAGAACCTACTCTATAACTTGATAGACAGTTGTCATTCGTTGCCATCACAACAAATAAAGTCGTGTATAAGGAGAATTTTAACTGAACATGGTAACACTAGTGACATTAGAAAAGTTATAGCGACAATCGAGTGCCAAAATTGTGATAAAGAATTTCGGTTTCTGAAAGAGTTATGCTTGAAGTGTTTGTCCAAATGTTTTGAGGCAATCCATCATTTTACCTTGGTGGATGGTATAAAAGCATTTTCGCAAGCGGCAACACAGGTTAAGGAGAATGATGAATGGGCAGCACTAAAGAAGGCTAAAAGATACCCAGTTATATTAATTATTGATGAGGTGAATATAATAGCCAAACACTGACCTATAAGGTCGGGGAAAAAGTTTCTTCGTATTTTATATGCAAATTCAAGATACTTTTTTTCAAAGTTTATTTACATTTAAATATAATATATATTTTTGCCGTGTAGTGGCGGTTAAGAATATCCATTACCCCATATCTACTCGTGGGTGTCGTAAGAGGCGACAGTGGGAAACTGGCAGGAGATGGGCGGCAACATCTTCCTGATAAACAGTAATATTACAATAAAAAAACTGCGGTAGCCAATCCGCTCGCCAAGCGCGGCAACTATGGCAAATATTCCTCCATGATGAAAGTTACTAAGAGACGGCCCCTAGTCCCCGGTGACCCCGCTATTCCTAGCTACGGTGGCGAAAATGGTAACGGCGGAGCAGGGGATGCTAAGAATCTCCGGTGGAGTTTCGGTTGCCACCTAAGACAACTCGACGGAGTTAAGTTCTGCAAGATCCGCCGCAGAAGAACACAAAAACACTACGATCACACTCTTAATCTCATGGCTGTTAGACGGGAAATGAAGCTGCAGTCTTCAACAGACTTCACAGCATACAGGAAAACGCAACTTCAATACAGCTTGTATTGAAGAAGCGATCGAGCGGAACCAGGGCTCCAAAGTCTTTACCAGAGATCTGTCTGCCAGAAAGAGCCAACTGTCAAAGTTGAAAACGAGTGTGGGAGCATCGTTTCCGGACACCTGAGATTTTGAGTGAGATTGAGTGGTTCTATGAGCAGCTGTACTCATCATCGTTGGAGCCACACGCAAGTGTGAGTAACGATCCAAGAGCGAGTCTTATCCGACACTATTCCGAAGATATCCCAGACATCAGTCTGAGCGAGATTAGAATGGCTCTCCAGCACCTTAAAAATTGCAAGTCCCCGGGTGAGGATGGAATTACAGCAGAGCTTCTGAAAGCGGGTGGAAAACCGGTACTTGAAGTCCTTCAGAAGCTCTTTAATTCCGTCCTCCATGGTGTCATTACACCGGAGGCGTGGTGCAGAAGTGCAATGACCTTGTTCTTCAAGAAAGGCGACAACGTTCTCTTGAAGAACTACACACCGATTTCCCTTCTGAGCCGCGTCTATGTGCTGTTTTCGAGAGTCATTACGAATCGTCTCGCGCGCAGACTGCTGATCGCCCGATAGCACCCGCAGTCAAAATGTGAACCTTTACCTTTATATAAAGGCACAATGACCGCGGATCGCCAATCATCCGGGACATCCCCCGTCCGCCAGCACAAATTGCATAGCAGATGAAAGCTGTCCCAGACGCGAGGCCCACCATACTTGACCATTTCAGCAGTAACTCTGTCTAGTCCCGCAGCCTTACCACATTTCAAACTTCGAATCGCACGATCAATCTCTTTCATACTGATGACCTCAGTGTCATCGAGGTCCGGGTCTGGCGTACCAGTCACGGCGTCATCCCCGGATCCCTCACTAAGATCATCACACGCATACATTTCTCTATAAAATTCGCTCCATCGCTGCATGACGTCCGATTTTTCTGAGAGGACGTCATTAGTTCTCGAAAGCACTTTGTTCATTCTTAAGGCCGTCGCACCACTGCGGGTCCTTCCAACCTCTTTCCAGAAGAGTTTGGAGTTCTCCTTAAAGTTGTGCGACAACCTTTCGTCCGCTTCCATTCTACACCTTTCACGCACTTCCTCAATCAGTGCTTTCGTGTGAACTTTCTGCAGCCTATATCTTTCTTTCATCTTCTCTCTCATATCCTTATCATTACTAGAGGCCAAGTAGTCTAACCATGCTTTCTTCTTCTTCTTTACAGCTTCTTTCACTTCATCATTCCACCATGCATCTCTTCTTTTACTACTGCCTCTTTTTATTGTTCCACACACTTCTTCCGCTGCACTTACCATTCCATCCCTAAGGTTCTGCCATGTTCTTTCTACACATTCTTTTCTGCCATCGATGATGTCAAGCTTTTCGGCTACCCTCGCATGATATTTGTCCCTAGTATCCGCTTCCTGAAGCTTCCAGCTTCGGATGCGACAGGCCGACTGTGGTTCTGTTACTGCCGTCCGGTAGCGCCAACCCGCGAACAGACCCCTAAATCTAGTAATCACTAGATAGTGATCCGTTCCCAGGTCAACACCCCTGAACACTCGCGTATCCATCACCTGTTTTCGCAGTCGGTCATCCACCAGGAACAAATCGATCATACTTCTCTCATTGTTTCGTTCTCTAGTATACATATGGATTTTCTTGTGATTAAACATAGTGTTTGTCACAAGAAGACCCTTTTCTTTGCACATCGCCAGTATAAGCTTGCCAGCATCATTAACCCTTTTATCGCCAAACTTTCCAAGTACCGACTCGTACCATGGTCGAACGGTACCAACCCATCCATTCAAATCACCACATACAACATTTCTTTCGTTTCCCCTAGCCAAATCTAGAACTTCTCTTACATTCTCCCAAAACTTCTCCAGCTCAGCCCTGGACGACGAAGCTACCGGCGCATAAACAGCCAAAAGGAATAACTTCGTCAGTCCCAATTTAAAGCGTACCCAGAGAAATCTTGAGTTCACAACCTTATATTCAGTAATAACATCGACCAACCGAGAAGACAGCAGCACCCCCACTCCCTGGCAGGCGCTCTCGCTCTCCGGGACTTCGGACCATAGAGCTAACGCCCCGCCAGGGAGCTCTTCAGTACCACTGCCCTTCCGTTTGGTCTCCGACATACACACGACATCTAATTCTCTTTCTTTCATTATTTCGATCAACTCATTCGTCTTATCTCTCATGCCTCCTCTAACATTCCACGTGCCAACTCTGCACTCTGTCCTCCACCTTCCGCCGTGTCGGGCTGTGCGTGACGGGTGGCGGTCCCCATCGCCGCTTTGCACGCTGCATTCCACACCAACGGGGACGAGCTGGTGTGCGTCGCCTTGGGGGGACGCCCTAACCCTCGTTGGCATGGGTGCGCAGCTGAGTAGAATTGCAGCCCAGAAAAGGGCTGGCAGGGGTCGCGACGAGCACGCTTCTACAATGACCCCCAAATTATCATTCCTTATCATATATTTAATTTCAGATGTTGGACACATTTCCTTGGGAAATGTTGTCGATATTAAATCATCAGCCCGTGTCGAGAATGGAGAACATACACTTCACCTATCTTCTTTACAAGATTCACGAAAAGGACTTTATTGATGGATACTTTGCCGCCAAATCCAACGTCGGCAGATACATTATTAATCCAGGTCAGTAGAATTTATTTATTTAAAATTTTTAATGTTTACTATGTTTTTAATTTTTATTATATTTTATTAATAAGGTACACACACAGATTGAAGGCAATACATCACACAGTTACAGTAACAAATATTATTGTAACTAGTCTATAATGCAATAGAGTGTGCACAGCAAAACAAAATTTGATAACAAGTAGTTATATTTGTAAAAATCTAATAATACATAGTATGAGTAATAAAAAAAAACTTATTTAGTGATATCCGTGAAATTTACATATTTAACGTACCAATTAAAGATATTTTAAATTGTGACATATTAAAATTAAAAAGATATTCAATATGCTATATCTATACATCTATACCGGTAGCGAAGCCTCAATAGAAACCGAGAAGCCGGGCTTGCCCTATCAAACTGCTCAATCAATAATATCAACTAATAAAATAACTCGTAAACTGTTTCAAGCTATTTCACGCTCCTCCACGCAATGGACTGTCAAAATTAATCGTCGCGGCAAAACTGCGCGATACTGCTGTCATAAAAAAGGAGTTGAGTTGAGCGATTAATCGTCTCTCTCGCACGCGTGGGCTTTTTACCGGGCTTCCGAGAAGACGATCGCTCCCTTTCTAACCTGTGGCAAAATGTTCTATAATGAAATATAACTACGATTGTTTATATAGCAATGAGTATAGAGCGATAAGCCTGGCTTTAGATATAAACTTAGTAGAGCGCGGGGGCGCACGAGCGATACGTTATTACGTTTGCAACTTCACTTCGCATTTCATTGTTTACTCTGTGTGTTTACTTTAATGCTTTTTTAAAGATTTTTAGTGAAAATGGAGGATAATAGTGATCCTTGTGATGAATTGAAGTGTGTTAAAGTGCTAATGTGCGAGGGAAAGCTAAAATCTTTAAACTTTGTGCAGAAAAAACAGCTCATATTCACATAAACAGTTATTGGTACAATTAAAACGTTCATCAACATTTTACGCAGACGTAATCAAATCTTTTCTTAAGAAAGAGAGACGATTCGATTTAGAATATCAATATATATATTTTTAATTTTGTACATTGTTTGTACTTTATTCATGCTTTTCTTTTGTTCATGTATTGTATTGTATGTAAATATGTTTTTCTTTCGCTCAACCAAACCCAAACGGCTTTTTTCAAAACCACGGAAGGTATGCAACTGCTGATATCTCATACAATCTATCTAGCAGTAGTATGCCTTCTGTATCTAGCAGTAGTGTACTGAATATGAAACTGAAGAGTGGAGACAGATCAAGATTGGTGTATTTTTATAAAACTGCTAAAAGCAACAAAACCATATCTTGGGCTTGCCCTAGTTTGGAGCCCTAGCTTCGCCACTGATCTATACATATAAATAAAATTTTATGAAAATTATATTAAATAAAATGAAGTGTTTGTGTATTATATTGGAATAACTGGTTTCTATTAAGCTCAGGGTGTTACTTATATGCTATTAAGACATAAACAAACATTTAAAAAAATGGTCTGTTTGTCTATTTGTCCTGGTTAATCTTCGGAATGGAACCTATTGTAATAAAACTAAGAATAGATAGAGAACAATACCAGGAGGGATCTAGGCTATATTTAATCCGAAAAATATATTTTTTAAATAACGAAATATTCATAAAATAAATGGTTTTTGACTATCTTAAATGCAAATTACACCATATTACAAGATCCTATCCAGACGAAGCCGGGGCGGGGAAGCAAGGGGCGAATTTAATAGCTGTAAACTCATGGTGTGCCGAAAGAACAGCGGCAGACTTTCATACATAAAATAAGTTGAAAAGGAATGGTAGTGTCTATATATTAAAAATATCTTAAAATGTTAAGAGTCAGTCCCTTAATAACTGTAAAAGAATTTTGTCCTGAGAAGGCGTCAAAAAAAGATATTTTTATTTGAACTTTTTAGGTTATGTCTTGTTTTTTGGAAAAAGTCATGCGTCCTGTGATTGTTTGATGTTAGCTTAATACATTCTCAACATAATGTACCTACCTACATAATTTAGAGTATTTAGATTATTATATCTCTATTATATATTTGCATACTATAAATGTATATTTCTGGCATGGCTCCAGGGCCTTTGTGCCATACAGTGACATTCTCAAAAGGGCTAGAACCCAGAGCCGTAAAGCCAGTAAAAAAACCAGTGACATTTTGTTTTAGCTAGCGTTGCCATAACATTAAATGGAATTGTTACAAAGTACTATGATTGAGATAATGATGTATTGTTGTAGGAAATTCTTTGTAAGAGACTTATTTTCAACCATCACTTTTATTTTTATTATTACTGATAGTAAAGTTATTACTAATAATAACTTAATATAAAAATTATTTTGTGTTTGTGTGTTGTGTTGGTAGTCTTACAAAGTTATATGAAAATAGTATGAATATAGTAAATGGCAACACTTGAATAGAGTAAAATGATTTAAGTCATTTGATATTCCCAAAAATGTTTGTTTTTTTCTGCGGCTTTAATTAAAATACATTTTTATTTGAAAAATCATAGAAAAATAATAAAACTCATTTTATATATAACTTATTTCTAAACGCAATAGTTTTTGTCAGCTATTTTTCTGCCATTGTTCTTTAAGGATAAGTGCCGTTAAGAATTAAACGAAGAAATATGTACATACGCAAGTTCTCCAACACACGCACACACCTATATCCATAATATACATGAGTACATGAAATAAATGTTTCTTTAATATATCTATAACAGCCTATAAAGTTTAGTGCTGAACTTAGGCTTCCCCATAAATTGTCATAGCTGCCTCGCTTGGCAGGCGGGTTGGCAACCGCAGATTTATTTTATTATTTCGAGTTGTTATCAGGAAGACCTTGCTGCCCATCTCCTGTTTAAGTTTCTGTCTGTCGCCTTTTACGAAACTTATGGGACTATATGGTGTAGTATATATTCTCCTAAGTCGTCACTACACAGCGATACACTAACATAAAAATATAACAAGAAAATGTATATTTTCGTTATAGAGAAGAATCTGGAACGCATGGAGAAGCGTATGGCTTCATTTGTACAGTATTGGTGCTCGAATTGGACTGGCCACATTGGCGAACCACCATCGCCTGAAGACTTCCTGCGATATTTGTCCGAATCGGATATATTTTTGTAAGTATATTTTACATAGTACATACATTGCCAGTCCCTTTTAACTTCACTGTTAAACTGCGTTTTTGAGAATGCATCAAACTAATGATTGATGAATGAGTGATGATTAAGAAATGAATTTCTATTAATAGTTGCCTATCATAATTCTAAAGCGATACCTACTTCATGATATTGCGAACAGCATAACAGAAACAGTAGATAACAAACCTTTTTTATTCAATATAGATTATAAATAATACTTATTTAAGGTCACTCTTTTTTACCAGTGGTTCCGAACAAATCCTGTCCTGGGAAGAACCAGCAAGAAACCTATAGGGACATTAGAAAAAAAACAACACCTTACAATTACTTGTGTTAACAACACAAAACAAATTAGAAATAGCTTGGTAGCGATCACCTCATTCCCATGGGTTATCATCCATAAATTCTTTAATATCATAATAAACCTTTTTACACAAACTTTGCTTAATAATGTTTTAGAACTTTGAGGAGGTAAAATTTTGTATATTTTCTAGGATATTGTTGTAGAAGAGTATATACATCGCTCCAATAATGAGTTACTGACTTGGTGGAGTCGAGTAACTGGTACTACTAGCTTGTTATTGTTGTTCCTAGTATTTACAGAATGAATATCACTTATTTTTTTAAAACTACTGTTATTTTTGTGTACATACATTACATTTTCATAAATGTATTGAGAAGCAAAAGTTAATACTGTTACGAGCTGGGGGTTCGAGACAATTTAAAACCGCCGATTGAATTACCAAAATTGACACTTTAATTACAGAACACTAGTTACAACTTAAAACCACACTAATAATAAAACAGTTATACTATAAATCACTTTAGTTCGCAGTTATATAGCTTCGAAGTATTCACTTGTATCGCCAATTCAATACTGACTCGGTCGCGGTCTATACCGACCTTATATAGGGCCTCAGATAGTTTCTAGAACCTACTACTATAGAAACTTCTAGAATGTTCGAGTACATATCGGTCCCGATTGACTAGGTGTCGATAGTTCTAGAAAGTTCTACAATGGAAATTTCTAGAATGTTCTTGACTCTCCTAGTTCTGCTACTCGATACTAGAGGGCGCTAGTGGTAACTAGTGTCGCCATGTACCATATATTAATCATGGCGCGCAACAGTACATATACTAATTTCCTTATTTTTTTTTGTCTGAGCGACTCTAGGTCTTTAAATTGTTCTTATGGCCCTCTTCTGTAAAACAAATATAAATTCAGTGTCAGTCGCGTATCCTTATAGCAAAATACCGTACGACATTATGCTATGGAAATAGCTAAAGTAAACTAGTCTTACTGTTTCAACACTCTAAGATCTTTAATCCTTTTTACAGCGCATGCTGCAGAACTAAGTCTGCTTATTAGTTTTGATATATGGGAGCCCCATTAAAGTTTAAACGTGGTAGAGCCATGCTGCAGCTATATTAATAGTATAGTTGTAGCACGAATGGGTCGGCTCGACCGGGGAAGGACCACGCTCTCACAGAATACTAGCGTAAAATAGCAGCTCAGTGCTGCTGTGTTTCGTATTGTGAGTGTAGAGAACCGGGGACCCTTTTTACTAGAAAAGAGGCATTCTATCTTAGTCCTCACGGCTGATAACACATCAGCATTTTAATTCGCAAACGAAGATAGATGTAGATGTCTATGGGTCACAGCAACCACTTACCATCTGGTGGACTGTATGCTCGTTTTTCATCCTTATTCTATAAAAAAAGTGGGAGATTTCAAGAAAAATAGTGGTATCGACGACTCAGCTCCTCCCCATTTAAAATTACCTTAGTATTTGGATGTTTGACATTTGTAGTTATGAATTTCATACATTTAGTTTTGGTGCCATTTAAATGCAAATTGTTAACTTTAAACTAATTTACTAATTTAGATATAGTATTATTTACTTCGTCATATTTTAGTAATTGCCGTTTTAATTTAAAAATTAACGAAATATCATCAGCAAATAATACTATATCATGGTTATCCCCTACTATGTAAGGTAAGTCATTAGTATACACAAGAAACAAAAAGGGGTCGAGAATTGAGTACAATCGACTCGGAAGAACTCATACTATTAATGACAAATTTTTGCGTTTTGTTACTTAAATATGAAATAACAAAATTAAGAACATCACTTATTACACCGTAGTTTCCTGATTAATGTTTCATGGCGAACACAATCGAAGGCTTTGTTTGGATAGATCACAGAAGATTTCCAAAGCATCCAGTGAATTTACCCATGCAATGGAAACATATTTAATTAGCTCAACACCAGCATCGGTTGTCGAGCGACCCCTTGTGAAATCGAATTGATATTTATGTAGTAAATTATTTACATTACAAAAATTTAACAATTGATGAATACTAATTTTTAAAAAATTAGTATTCATCAATTGTTAAAATAGGTCTAAAATTGGCGGGGTCCAATGTACTACTAGAAAGATATTAATGTACTGTTTCAATAAATCGGAAAACACCTGATTCGATACCAGTATTAAAAATAATAGCTAGTTGAAATCCCCCACAGATATGCGGTTTTCTTAATATCAATCTTAATTAAACCGGTAATTTGAATTCTGAGACTTGACCTTCCCAGTTTCACTATTAATTATACTCCACGTCATTTTAATTTTCACACTTAAATATTTCTGAATATTTTTTACATATTCCCCAAATTTGACGCTAGGATTGTATGACCTTTCATGGTAAAGTTCATATAACCTTTGTCTACTCTTATGGATGCCTACAGTCGCCCATTCATTGAATGCCTTGCGAATGATCAAGGAGAATGTTTTAGAAGTAAAAGTAGTATGAAATTCATTGCAAATAAGCTTAGATAATGTTCCATACAAAAAAATCAGGACTATTTTGGTATGAAAGCATTAGAAGCATTTTCACTATGTTATTTCTAAACTTCTCCATGCGCCGGGCATTAATTGTAACCAACACAACTTCCTCATCTACTTGCTTTTTTGTGAACATAGACAACAACAAAAGTAATTGTTCACAGTGGATCAGAACTCAATTTTTGAATTATACGTTTATGTAATGGCTTAACATTTGTGAAAGTGTTATCTGTACATGTTGCGCTAGATTCACCAGTACGCGTTGGCTCTGAAAATAAATTAAAAAGACCATATGATTTAAATTTAATATTACTGAAGGAAGTTTCTAAGAGATTAATATTAAAGTCTCCACACATTACAACAGATTTATTCTGTTTATTAAGCTTAACAGAAACTTCCTACCCTCAATATTTTTTTCAAAAGTATCATATATAGAGAACATGGGGGCTGTAGACGCTCACAACAATGAGGTGCTCAAACTCAACACATGCCATTTCTACAGTTCGCTCAACTGAGAGGCTCACAATATCTTTACGTTCCTTACATGATAATAGTTTACTAGCTAATATTAAAGAGACACCTCTTAACACCATTTCTCTATTGACAGAACTGACCACCCGGTGATTACTGAAGTTAAACATTAAGTTATAAGGTTTAACCAATGTTCAGTAATACATAAAATATGAATATTGTTGCTATTTATTTAAGAACAATTCAATTTCTAGATCTTTGCCTATCATACCTTGTATAATATTTTGATGCACCTTGTTTGTTTTTTTATGTTATTATTTTTCATGTATTACTTTGTGGAGTCATACAATAGGGTATTTTACACCATGTAAAAAAAGTCAAACAATATATATTTATGATAGATTTTGTAAAAAGTAAACGAGAAATATTGATTTCTATTTATAAAAATGCATTATAAATTTTATATTTTTATTTAAAGTTTTTTTTTACCTGGGCCTCAAATCTGCAAAACGATGTCCGCCATTTTAGATAGCGTCGTGACGTCACTAGGTCAAAGAACTAGGTTATGTGCTGTGTACTAACTAGCTAATTTCGTAATTTTTCAAGTTATCATTACGATTGTTGACTTTTATTCCGAATTTTATTGAAAAGGCATCATGGAAGACGGATTCGTAAAAGCGAGTTTATTACTTCGCTTTTAGCACTAATTTTATAGATATTATATTATAAGCTTAGGTGAGAAAAACTTTTTGTTATATTTTTTGTACAAACCCTCAGACGAAATAAAAAGTCACTTTTTTATTTGGTCTGAGTACAAACCATGTCTTTATTCCCATATAACAGAAGAAAACAGGAATTAAGTACAACACTGCACTGCACTTGCAAGGGCTATTAAAATGGCCCACAAAGGGCGGGACATACGAGCGATTAACCGAATCTATTACAAAATTTGAGTTGCAATAGTTCATACACCTATTTTACCTAATTTAATCGATAAATATAAGTCATACTTACATCATAGTGATCTTCACAGAAGTATAGTTTAGATTTTGTAGACAATGCCTTCGGGTCTCTTCTTGCCAGTTTTAACCAAGTATTTCTCATATTTAAATCAGTTGGCACTTTAATCCATAACTTCCCCGGCGTACTTATGCTTCCCCAGATACCCAGATCTTTAATAAGTTTAACGTTCATTAGTGTTTCATTATTTAGATGATAACTATCAGCTATTGGGTTTTGTCTTCGTGAGTGATAGTAAAGTTTGTTACTTTGACAATAAGATACCAAATCTATTTAGGTCTTGTAGTAAATTGCAATCGTGTTTATTAAGCTTAAACGTCAATCATTTATATGTGACGAAGTGAATTTGCCGTGTAGTGGCGGTCAAGAATCCACTACCCCATATCCTCCCGTGGGTGTCGTAAAAGGCGACAAAGGGAAACAGGCAGGAGATGGGCAGCAGCATCTTCCTGATAATAGCCAAAATTACAATAAAAAAAACTGCGGTTGCCAACCCGCTCGCCAAGCGTGGCAACTATGGCAAATACCCCCCCCCCCCCCCCCCCCCAATGATCAAAGCAACAAACAGACTGCCCCCAGTCCCCGGCGGCCCCGCTATTCCTGGCTACGGTGGCGACCATGGTAACGGCGGGGCAAGGGGTGCTAAGAATATCCGATGGAGGTTCGGTTGCCACCTTAGACGACTCGACCTGGCAACGTAGAACGCACGCACCCTGAGGACTGACGAGAAGATCGTGGAGCTGAAAGAAGAGATAGACAAGTTGCGCTGGCATATTATAGGATTATCTGAAGTCCGAAGAGAGGGGGAGGACACGGTAATCTTCGAATCCGGCAACTTGCTCTATCACCGGGAGGGCCACCATCTGTCCCAAGGAGGTGTCGGATTTATCGCCCACAAGTCTCTCGTTAACAACGTTGTAAAGATCGGGAGTGTGTCGACGAGGGTTGCGTACCTTATACTCAGAATCACCAAACGGTATTCGTTGAAGGTCATACAGGTTTACGCACCAACCTCAGCACACCCCGATGAGGAGGTGGAGGAAATGTATGAGGATATCTCTAGAGCCATGCATCCCTCCAAAACCCAAGAGAACGGTGAGCTGAAAGTAGGGAAATTTGGAATAGGGCAACGGAACCCAAGGGGCCAGCAGCTGGCCGACTTCATGGAGAAAGAGGCACTCTTTATGATGAACTCTTTCTTCCTGAAGCGGCCCCACAGGAAATGGACCTGGTCGGGCCCCGACGGTTCGACAAAAAATGAGATTGACTTCATTATGACGACCAGACGACAACTGTTCAGTGATGTCTTCGTGATCGCGAGGGTGAAAACTGGTAGCGATCACCGAATGGTTAGAGGCACACTGAACTTAAACGTTAAGTTGGAGAGGTCGCGTCTAATGAAGTCAACGCTCCGTCCCCCTCCTGCTCTGTTCCAAAGTCCCGAAACCTTTCAGCTCGAATTACAAAACCGTTTTTAGTGCCTAGAAGACTGCAATGAAGTGGACGATATGAATGACAAGCTCGTGGAAACTGTCCATGCGGTCGAAGCTAAGTTCTGCAAGACCCGCCGCAAAAGAACACAAAAACTCTCCGATCACACTCTTAATCTCATGGCTGTTAGACGGGAGATGAAGCTACATTCTTCAACAGATTTGACAGCATACAGGCAACTGAACAGACAGATCTCCAAATGCATGCGGCGGGACTTACACAACGTCAATACAGCTTGTATTGAAGAAGCGATCGAGCGGAACCAAGGCTCCAAAGTCTTTGCCAGAGATCTGTGTGCCAGATAGAGCCAACTGTCAAAGCTGAAGACCGAGTGTGGCAGCATCGTTTCCGGGACACCTGAGATTTTAAATGAGATTGAGAGGTTCTATGGGCAGCTGTACACGTCATCGTTGAAGCCACACGCAAGTGTGAGTAACGATCCAAGAGCGAGTCTCATCCGACACTATTCCGAAGATATCCCGGACGTCAGTCTGAGCGAGGTTAGAATGGCTCTCCAGCACCTTAAAAATGGCAAGGCCCCAGGCGAGGATGGAATTACAGCGGAGCTTCTGAAAGCGGGTGGAAAACCGGTACTTGAAGTCCTTCAGAAGTTCTTTAATTCCGTCCTCCATGGTGGCATTACACCGGAAGCGTGGAGCAGAAGTGCGGTGGTATTGTTCGTCAAGAAAGGCGACAACGCTCTCTTGAAGAACTTCAGACCGATTTCCCTTCTGAGCCGCGTCTACGTGCTGTTTTCGAGAGTCATTACGAATCGTCTCGCGCGCAGTCTTGACGACTTCCAGCCTCCCGAACAAGCCGGTTTCCGAAAAGGTTTTAGCACCATAGACCACATACATACACTTCGGCAAATTGTACAGAAGTCAGAGGAGTACAATTTGCCACTATGTCTGGCGTATGTGGACTATGAGAAAGCCTTTGATTCCGTCGAAATTTGGGCGGTGCTGCAGTCCCTTCAGCGGTGCCAAGTTGACTGTCGGTATATCGAAGTGCTGAAGTGTTTGTACAGTAGAGCTACGATGGCTATCCGAGTACAGAACTAGAGTACGAAACCTATCCAATTGCAGAGAGGTGTAAGACAGGGTGATGTTATATCCCCGAAACTCTTCACCGCTGCATTGGAAGACGTTTTCATCTTAATACCAATCTGAATACCAATGTGTTTTTAAATGGGGAGGAACTGAGCCCTGTTGTATCCACTGTTTTTCTTGGCATCACTCTCGACGCAAAGCTTCAGTGGCGCCCCCATATATACAAATTAGCAAGCTGACTAAGTTCTGCAGCCTATGCTGTAAAAAAGATTAGAGGTCTCACTAGTGTCGAGACAGCTACATTAGTTTATTTCAGTTATTTCCATAGCATAATGTCTTATGGGATTTTGCTATGGGGAAATGCGGCTGATTCAGAAACTATTTTTGTTTTATAGAAGAGGGCCATTAGGGCTATTTACAACCTAAATCCGAGAGAGTCTCTTAGAGATAAATTTAAAGAAATAAATATATTAACTTTGGCCTCTCAGTATATTTACGAAAATTTAATGTATGTTCACAAAACAAAGGTAGTTTTAGTAAAAAAGTGATATACATTCTGTAAACACTAGGAACAATAACAAGCTAGTGATGCCAGTTTCTCGACTCCACAGAGTCAGTAATTAATTCTTGGGGTGTACAGGCTCTCTCTATTACCAAGTTTAAATGTTTTGTTAAGCTGAAACTGTATAAAAAGGGTTATTATAGTATAGATGAATACATGGTTGATAACAACCCCTGGGAATGAGGTGGTTGCTTCCAAGCAGTTTCTAAAATAAATTTTGTAAATAGTTCGTAATCATTTATATTGTAAAATTTATTTAAAAAATGTCCCGCTGGGATTCTTGCTGGTTCTTCCCACGACAGAGGGTTTTTTTTCGAACCAGTGGTAAAGTAAAAAATTACTTTCAATAAGAATTACACATGTAATGTATATTGAATAAAAAATTATTCTATTCTATTTGATATCCTTAAGGGAATTTTCATGTCATCGTGTTTGAAGATCAAGATCAATATAAATATTGAAAAACGATGGCCCCAAAATCGAGCCTTGTGCCATACGAGAGGGTACACTTTTCAATTTAGATTTATAGCCGTGTAGCACTTTAGCGCATCACAATCTGTAGATTGTGATCTGTTTTATTATAGGTATCTGGTGTAATTATGCATATAAAATTTTTAACCATTTTTATAAAATGGGGTAATAAAAGTATATTACCATATAATAGGTACAGTACCCTCATTGAGACACTTGTAGAAGTATGCATAGTGGGAGCGTTAGGCTATTAGCTCAGTTAAAAACGAAAATCGGCGGTATTTCATCTGGGCCTGCACCTTTTTGATTATCGAATTTTTTAATCGTTTTAAAACAATATACTGATGCCATTAAAAATATAACTTGTAAAAAAACCAAGTCTTGCACTCAGTTCTTTTACCGTAAACATTTGTGAGATCCATGTAATACCAAGTCGGTTAATTTATTCAGTCCCTACTTAAGGATCCTTCTGTCTCAAGTTATTACGTAATTACCTAATCTAACAACATCTTATAGTGACCATATCAATATTAAAAAAAAATTATGTTTTAAATAAATAGATTGAATTGGCCATGGCATGAAAACACAATGTATCTGACAAGTAATACATATTATATTAAATTAGATGGTTTAGTGCGATTTTCGAAGGTTTTTATTTCACTGATATAATTATAAAAGTTTAATTTATTTCATTTGCGCACGCTTACTAGCATTCATATATTTTTAATTACTAGATATGTGCCAAACGAATATAATCGTAGCTTGAGTTTGACAAAATTAAGTAAGATGATTTTATTTTACTTATTCATGTATACTAAATTCTGCATCACTGCTGGCTGAAGGATTTCGTGATGTGTTGCACTGTGCTCGCTCGACAGTTTCAAGGGGCGCTTTTAACTCTGACTATTTACACAGATACTGCTTATTAGCCAGGATTCTACAGCACGAGCTCGCTCTGAATCTGCCTTATTATAAGTACTTGCCGCAAGCCGTGCTCGAAAATGACCGCGGCAGGCTCTACTGGGACCGGGCTATCATGATAAATAGGACTTCTTCCGAATAAGCCCGACCCGGCACAGTCAAGGATATTTTGGTCGACATTACCATTCTGTATGACGAGAACCCCGTGAAAGCCGAAACAAATAAGCAAACAAAATATCTGGATCAGACTCACGAGGTGAACGACACGTGGAATAGTCTGCCGATAGAAATTATTTCTGTAGTCGTTTTTGCGATCGGGCTAATCGCGGTCTGCCTCTCGGCTCATTTTGAGGAGATTGTCCTAGTTCGTGTCTGTGACGGTCCGCTCCGGGCTCAAAAGAGGAAGGCGGTACTCCTCGATACCGCCTGCTTTATTCGCCGGTTTCTTTCCCTTTCTCCCTTTTGCCGTGGAAGGAAAAGGTATTCTGTCCGAGGAGTGACCAACGCTACATGTAATAGTGTCAAGCTATTCTATTTTTACTGTAGTACTTTGGAACTTTGATAGCGCGATTTAGGTTTCGTTTTGTTTCGTATGACTGTGTCGCGGTAACAACGCTGCTACATGCCTAGCCCTCGGCAGTTTGGTCTTCTTTGTTGAGGGCTTCCATATGGTTGGGTTTTTATTTATATACTTATTTAATAAGTAAGTATTTAACAATGATGAGAAATTATACATATAAATATCACATAAATGAATGAATGATGTAGGTACTGTGGTCACGGGGATGGATGCCGGCTGGCGGGGTGCGGGGGTGGCGCGGGAGTGGAGAGCGTGCCGGTGCACGGGCTGGCGCTGCTGTCGGGCTGCGGCTCCGTGCGCCTGGCGCGCCCGCCCGGCCGCGCGCCGCCCGCCGCCGCGCACCACCACCTGCACGTGGCCGCCAGGTACGTGCACACTGCACACTGCACTGCACACTGTACTGCACACTGCACACTGTACTGCACACTGCATACTGTACTGCACACTGCACACTGTACTGCACACTGCACACTGTACTGCACACTGCGGCTCCGTGCGCCTGGCGCGCCCGCCCGGCCGCGCGCCGCCCGCCGCCGCGCACCACCACCTGCACGTGGCCGCCAGGTACGTGCACACTGCACACTGCACTGCACACTGTACTGCACACTGCACACTGTACTGCACACTGCATACTGTACTGCACACTGCACACTGTACTGCACACTGCACACTGTACTGCACACTGCGGCTCCGTGCGCCTGGCGCGCCCGCCCGGCCGCGCGCCGCCCGCCGCCGCGCACCACCACCTGCACGTGGCCGCCAGGTACGTGCACACTGCACACTGCATACTGTACTGCACACTGCACACTGTACTGCACACTGTACTGCACACTGCACACTGTACTGCACACTGCACACTGTACTGCACACTGCACACTGTACTGCACACTGCACACTGTACTGCACACTGCGGCTCCGTGCGCCTGGCGCGCCCGCCCGGCCGCGCGCCGCCCGCCGCCGCGCACCACCACCTGCACGTGGCCGCCAGGTACGTGCACACTGCACACTGCATACTGTACTGCACACTGCACACTGTACTGCACACTGCACACTGTACTGCACACTGCGGCTCCGTGCGCCTGGCGCGCCCGCCCGGCCGCGCGCCGCCCGCCGCCGCGCACCACCACCTGCACGTGGCCGCCAGGTACGTGCACACTGCACACTGCATACTGTACTGCACACTGCACACTGTACTGCACACTGTACTGCACACTGCACACTGTACTGCACACTGCACACTGTACTGCACACTGCACACTGTACTGCACACTGCACACTGTACTGCACACTGCGGCTCCGTGCGCCTGGCGCGCCCGCCCGGCCGCGCGCCGCCCGCCGCCGCGCACCACCACCTGCACGTGGCCGCCAGGTACGTGCACACTGCATACTGTACTGCACACTGCACACTGTACTGCACACTGTACTGCACACTGCACACTGTACTGCACACTGCACACTGTACTGCACACTGCACACTGTACTGCACACTGCACACTGTACTGCACACTGCGGCTCCGTGCGCCTGGCGCGCCCGCCCGGCCGCGCGCCGCCCGCCGCCGCGCACCACCACCTGCACGTGGCCGCCAGGTACGTGCACACTGCACACTGCATACTGTACTGCACACTGCACACTGTACTGCACACTGTACTGCACACTGCACACTGTACTGCACACTGCACACTGTACTGCACACTGCACACTGTACTGCACACTGCACACTGTACTGCACACTGCGGCTCCGTGCGCCTGGCGCGCCCGCCCGGCCGCGCGCCGCCCGCCGCCGCGCACCACCACCTGCACGTGGCCGCCAGGTACGTGCACACTGCACACTGCATACTGTACTGCACACTGCACACTGTACTGCACACTGTACTGCACACTGCACACTGTACTGCACACTGCACACTGTACTGCACACTGCACACTGTACTGCACACTGCACACTGTACTGCACACTGCGGCTCCGTGCGCCTGGCGCGCCCGCCCGGCCGCGCGCCGCCCGCCGCCGCGCACCACCACCTGCACGTGGCCGCCAGGTACGTGCACACTGCACACTGCATACTGTACTGCACACTGCACACTGTACTGCACACTGCACACTGTACTGCACACTGCACACTGTACTGCACACTGCGGCTCCGTGCGCCTGGCGCGCCCGCCCGGCCGCGCGCCGCCCGCCGCCGCGCACCACCACCTGCACGTGGCCGCCAGGTACGTGCACACTGCACACTGCATACTGTACTGCACACTGCACACTGTACTGCACACTGCACACTGTACTGCACACTGCACACTGTACTGCACACTGCGGCTCCGTGCGCCTGGCGCGCCCGCCCGGCCGCGCGCCGCCCGCCGCCGCGCACCACCACCTGCACGTGGCCGCCAGGTACGTGCACACTGCACACTGCATACTGTACTGCACACTGCACACTGTACTGCACACTGCACACTGTACTGCACACTGCGGCTCCGTGCGCCTGGCGCGCCCGCCCGGCCGCGCGCCGCCCGCCGCCGCGCACCACCACCTGCACGTGGCCGCCAGGTACGTGCACACTGCACACTGCATACTGTACTGCACACTGCACACTGTACTGCACACTGCACACTGTACTGCACACTGCGGCTCCGTGCGCCTGGCGCGCCCGCCCGGCCGCGCGCCGCCCGCCGCCGCGCACCACCACCTGCACGTGGCCGCCAGGTACGTGCACACTGCACACTGTACTGCACACTGCACACTGTACTGCACACTGTACTGCACACTGCACACTGTACTGCACACTGTACTGCACACTGCACACTGTACTGCACACTGTACTGCACACTGCACACTGTACTGCACACTGTACTGCACACTGCACACTGTACTGCACACTGCGGCTCCGTGCGCCTGGCGCGCCCGCCCGGCCGCGCGCCGCCCGCCGCCGCGCACCACCACCTGCACGTGGCCGCCAGGTACGTGCACACTGCACACTGCATACTGTACTGCACACTGCACACTGTACTGCACACTGCACACTGTACTGCACACTGCGGCTCCGTGCGCCTGGCGCGCCCGCCCGGCCGCGCGCCGCCCGCCGCCGCGCACCACCACATGCACGTGGCCGCCAGGTACGTGCACACTGCACACTGTACTGCACACTGCACACTGTACTGCACACTGCACACTGTACTGCACACTGCACACTGTACTGCACACTGCACACTGTACTGCACACTGCATACTGTACTGCACACTGCACACTGTACTGCACACTGCACACTGTACTGCACACTGCGGCTCCGTGCGCCTGGCGCGCCCGCCCGGCCGCGCGCCGCCCGCCGCCGCGCACCACCACCTGCACGTGGCCGCCAGGTACGTGCACACTGCACACTGCATACTGTACTGCACACTGCACACTGTACTGCACACTGCACACTGTACTGCACACTGCGGCTCCGTGCGCCTGGCGCGCCCGCCCGGCCGCGCGCCGCCCGCCGCCGCGCACCACCACCTGCACGTGGCCGCCAGGTACGTGCACACTGCACACTGTACTGCACACTGCACACTGTACTGCACACTGCACACTGTACTGCACACTGCACACTGTACTGCACACTGCACACTGTACTGCACACTGCATACTGTACTGCACACTGCACACTGTACTGCACACTGTACTGCACACTGCGGCTCCGTGCGCCTGGCGCGCCCGCCCGGCCGCGCGCCGCCCGCCGCCGCGCACCACCACCTGCACGTGGCCGCCAGGTACGTGCACACTGCACACTGCATACTGTACTGCACACTGCACACTGTACTGCACACTGCACACTGTACTGCACACTGCGGCTCCGTGCGCCTGGCGCGCCCGCCCGGCCGCGCGCCGCCCGCCGCCGCGCACCACCACCTGCACGTGGCCGCCAGGTACGTGCACACTGCACACTGTACTGCACACTGCACACTGTACTGCACACTGCACACTGTACTGCACACTGCACACTGTACTGCACACTGCGGCTCCGTGCGCCTGGCGCGCCCGCCCGGCCGCGCGCCGCCCGCCGCCGCGCACCACCACCTGCACGTGGCCGCCAGGTACGTGCACACTGCACACTGCATACTGTACTGCACACTGCACACTGTACTGCACACTGCACACTGTACTGCACACTGCGGCTCCGTGCGCCTGGCGCGCCCGCCCGGCCGCGCGCCGCCCGCCGCCGCGCACCACCACCTGCACGTGGCCGCCAGGTACGTGCACACTGCACACTGTACTGCACACTGCACACTGTACTGCACACTGCACACTGTACTGCACACTGCACACTGTACTGCACACTGCACACTGTACTGCACACTGCGGCTCCGTGCGCCTGGCGCGCCCGCCCGGCCGCGCGCCGCCCGCCGCCGCGCACCACCACCTGCACGTGGCCGCCAGGTACGTGCACACTGCACACTGTACTGCACACTGCACACTGTACTGCACACTGCACACTGTACTGCACACTGCACACTGTACTGCACACTGCACACTGTACTGCACACTGCACACTGTACTGCACACTGCACACTGCGGCTCCGTGCGCCTGGCGCGCCCGCCCGGCCGCGCGCCGCCCGCCGCCGCGCACCACCACCTGCACGTGGCCGCCAGGTACGTGCACACTGCACACTGTACTGCACACTGCACACTGTACTGCACACTGCACACTGTACTGCACACTGCACACTGTACTGCACACTGCGGCTCCGTGCGCCTGGCGCGCCCGCCCGGCCGCGCGCCGCCCGCCGCCGCGCACACCACCTGCACGTAGCCGCCAGGTACGTGCACACTGCACACTGTACTGCACACTGCACACTGTACTGCACACTGCACACTGTACTGCACACTGCACACTGTACTGCACACTGCACACTGTACTGCACACTGCGGCTCCGTGCGCCTGGCGCGCCCGCCCGGCCGCGCGCCGCCCGCCGCCGCGCACCACCACCTGCACGTGGCCGCCAGGTACGTGCACACTGCACACTGTACTGCACACTGCACACTGTACTGCACACTGCACACTGTACTGCACACTGCACACTGTACTGCACACTGCACACTGTACTGCACACTGTACTGCACACTGCGGCTCCGTGCGCCTGGCGCGCCCGCCCGGCCGCGCGCCGCCCGCCGCCGCGCACCACCACCTGCACGTGGCCGCCAGGTACGTGCACACTGCACACTGTACTGCACACTGCACACTGTACTGCACACTGCACACTGTACTGCACACTGCACACTGTACTGCACACTGCGGCTCCGTGCGCCTGGCGCGCCCGCCCGGCCGCGCGCCGCCCGCCGCCGCGCACCACCACCTGTACGTGGCCGCCAGGTACGTGCACACTGCACA